CTACTGTTTCAGTTTATAATTCTTAACCTATTTACTCCTGTTCCTCGGGATAAAGTTCGCCTATTCGGCACTTGGTTCAAATATCTAATCCAACAACTTCGTCCCGAGTGGATTATTAATTTAAAAAGGTAAATGTTATTCGGCTCGTCGCTATTGTAACCTCTTATATTAGAAACAGATGGTCTACCGGTGTTACTTGTTAATAATTCTTATGGTGATGACGAAAATTTTAATCGAAGAAAAGAACTGTGGACGTAACAGGAGAAGGAGAGAAAATATAAGACAACACAAATGGAGAATAAAACGTTGCTATATTTTAAACTAGCCAGATCTCTACGGAAATATATGATCATAATTTACGGACGCAATAGGAGAAGCGGAGGCAAGAATTTTGGATACGTTGTACATAATTTAGCAATTGTTGATTAAGAGCCCGAACGTAAACATCAACGTAATCAAATAATGAAATAACAAGTAATTGAGAAGTAAGGAATTTTTGAGAGCAGGAAAGGATGTTGCGAAGGAGATAAAGAAGACATAGACATGTGATAAGAAACCCGACACACGGCCACGTGTGACTGGAACATCCATGAAGAGTCAACGTAAACACCAAAAATCTTAATAGAGGAGGAGCGAGGAATTGGAACAGAGTTAAGAGCAATATCGGACTGAATACGGGATAACAATGTTGAGGAACCGACAATCAGCAAGGATGATTTAGAAGGAATGAGATGTAGCGCATTATTAGTGGACAATTCGGTAAAAGATTTTAAATCTGTATTTATAGTAGAACAGGTTGCTAAAGCATCGAATGGGTGAAAGGATTTAAGAAGAATTACATCATCTGCATACATGAAGAGTTCGGAGGAGAGAAATATTAGACAAATCAGAGACAAAAAAATTAAAAAGTAAAGGTCCGGGAATGGAACCTTGGGGTACTCCAGAGAGAATGGCACGAAGAGAGGAGAAAAGAAGAAAAGGATTATATGTGAGGACTTGCTGCGTGCGGTTTGTAAGAAACAAGTCGATTAGTGAGGGAATGAGAAAGACCGCATAACTTGAGTTTGACTAAAAGTAAGTCATGATTGACGGTATCGAAAGCCTTTGTGAAGTCCAGCGCAATGGAAAGTAAGACAACTATTGTCGGGATCAATTCTTTAACGATACATATAACAACTTATAAATCGAATGGCAAATATTTACTATGAAATTGCTTCCAAGAATTTGATCAAGTTGCACCGTTACACATCAGAAAATTAATTTTTGAACATGCGAGTATTGTGATTTTTGTAATTATTTTAAATTTATTCAATATTGAGAATTAGTTGTCCCGATTGAGATCGAAACGTTTGTTAAACTTTGTTTATATTTTATATCATCAACATTGATTTCTTTGTTTAACATTGTCTATCATATCATCAATATAGATCTCTTGTTTATATAAAAGTTATTAGCACAAAACATCTACCTTAGTTCGTAGCCCTTTCATATAATTTTTATAAGTTTAAATGTAAAATAAAAAATATAAAGATACAGACTACCTAGTCTTTTAATTATTATATATTCAATATATAATAATTAAAAGAAATAATATTACATATCGGTATACAATACCATTATATTGTATACCAATATGTAATATTAAAATGACAATATGAGTTAAATAAATTTTAAATTTAATAACTAAAAGCTAAATGCTTTTATATAAAATTATTTTATTTTTGTAATTTTTTTAAAATTACCATTTTATCAGTCTCCAAAAATTACTGACTAATTTATCGTAATCTATCGAGTAAATTGTCATCAAATTTGCCATCATCTCTAGCCATTTGTAAATAAAAACAATTTGAATCATTTACGTAAAAATGAAAATAAGAGGAACAACTTCCATTGGCTTCGATTTCGAATGTTATCCAGGTCATGATTCCGAACAATATTCAAGAGGGTTTAGGCGTTGGTCGGACACCTTGAATAATGTTAAAGTCAATAATACTGTCAACACTTTCAAGTCTTATAACTCGAAATGTTCTTAACGAAAAAGAATTTTATTACAGTGTTTTGAAAAGTTCTTTGAAATAAACTACGAGAATATGTAATGAAAAATGAAGGAATCTACTTAAAAAATTCAAAGTGATTTTGATCTGACCTTAATAATGTTACTCAAGGTCAAATCAATGGTGCCTTCTTATGTCTCTCTTCAAATCATACAACTTTTGTTTGAAACATTTTTCCGCATATACCATAGTTTCCGAGAAATCTTAATGCATTATTTAAAATAGGACATTCTGTATATATGTATATACGAGTACATATATAGGATATCTCGAATTTAAATGGCCAAACTTCAGGAGTATGTAGAGAATCCAGAGAAAATAAGAAATGTTCTTTAAAAATATGCTCGTTTTTGCTTCGTTTCGAGAAAATAAAAAAAAATGTAATTTACGGAATGTTATACCATATGCGACACACATGAAAAAATCAAACTGCCCATGAAAGTAGAGATGAAATCTAGTACCAGCGTTTCGTTTAACGATATCATATCACTTGCGTTTTTTGACGTTTGAAGTTTAGAGATTATTTTGTCTACGGCGCAAGATAAAATTTTACGTCTGAAAATTATCTATTTCCACGTAAAATTGATCACTGAATCAGAAAATAATCAAATTAAAGCAATTGGAGTAGAGCAAAATGTTGAAAAAAATGCATTTTAGTCGAAAATTCCTCCTTTTTTAGCCTTTCTATGATTTTCTTTGTGGATATTAATGAGAAAATGTATTCTGAATGACTTCATTTAAATGCAATATTTACTCGAACTTTTTCCTACAGAATGAAGGAAATTAAATTTAAAGTTATTGAAGTTAATTTAAATTTAAAAATTTTTTTAAATTTATTAATTGAATGTACAAAAAAACAAATTATTTTGTGAGCAACGAACGTTTGCTATGGCATTTATCTTGTTGTGTCGCATCAAATCAATCAGCAATATTTATAAGTACGTGATGAGAGCCTTTTCTTGAAGCATTGTTTAGTTGTAGCAATATCTTGATGAAAACGCTCGCTGTGTTCGTTACTAAAATCGTCCAAGTTGTCGGGAAAGAAATTCAAATGATTGTACAAAAAGTAGTATAATAGTTTTCAACTTCTATTTTATAAAATGCAGCAATCATTTCAGCTAGAACTTCTTTATGATTTTTAGCTCTGTTCTTATCCCAAAAATTATAAAAATAACCGCGCTACAGCTTTCTACCATTCATAAGCATTATAAGCCTCAATCGGATCGTAGCTTTATATGCAGCTAACTTCAAGGAAAATACGTTGGCCACTTTTATAGAAAGATCGAAAATTTTGAGCAATTTTCATATTTTCCATATTTCATATTCATTATTTTGCTGTTTTAATTTTATTTTCGCAAAATTTTATCTTGCATCATGACCATAATAACCTATTCAAATATGCATAAAACTTTAAATGTATGTAAAAAACGTAAATTTGATATCGTGGAACGACACATACGCCTGTATTACATTTTATCTCTATTTTTGTGGACAATTTGAGTTTCCTATGTGTAAAGAAAAAAAATTATTTTTGTTGGACAGTGTTATTGTTTTTAAAGCGCAATATTGTTGTTTTCGTGTACGATTTCAATGATTACGCATCAGAGGCAATGCCGACAGTATGTACACCGATTTTCAGACAGAAGAGTGTCGAATAGGCGAGTCATTACATAATTGATTTTTAATAGGCTAACTTTTAGCGTTTTTTTGTCCGATCGAGTTTATATCAACTTGGATTGAATTAATGACATTTTGTACTCTTCTATTAGTAGAATATATAACGTCAGCTAATAGCAAAATTAAGATTAATTCAACCCAGGTTGCTGCAAACCCAATCGGACCGAAAATGCTATTTAACATACATATAAGCTGCTTTCCATTTACACACAAGCGAGACTGAGTTTGAAATGAGCCGAGTATTTCGTATTCAGATTAATGACGTCATAATTTGCGTACTTTGGTAAAAAGTCATCGCATGACAATACAAGTTCATAATCTCACTTTTAAAATGAATTTACGAGACTTATTAAAGCACATGATCTCGATATCTTGTGCACCTTATAAATAAAAACTCAGTTGAATCTCACTTGTCAGAATGCAAAAGGAACGCCCATTCAACTAAGTTATGACATCACAAGAGAATTATCTGAGAATCAATGCAAATGGAAAGCAACTATTGTGAGTCACAGAAAGGTTGCAACAATTTTTTTTAATAGGTTTCGGAACTCAGTCTTATTCGTAGAGCAGTTGGACGCATCAACACATAGGACTGGACGAAGCATGCGGGGAAATCTTTTTGATCTTTTGTCTTGACGGACCTAGAAAGAGTAAGGTAGATGGTTTACAAAACTCTCTTTCTACTCTCATCTTATTGGTCGAATTATGTTTCAAGAGAGGGGGAGGACAGTAGTGTATTCTTTAAAGTCAGGAGCCATCATAGAAGTATTGACTGGTACTAATGCAATACGATAATTCTAAACTTACATTATTAATTATTAGATAATAAATAAAACTTAAAATATTTTCTACGTGTACTTTGTGCAAAAGTAACTCTGAGTACAAATATATCAATTTAATGCCTCAGGATCCTTGATTATATGATTCACTACTACCCAAGTATCACTCTATCTCTTTCTAGATCTGCCAAGATGATTTCGATGCTAATGCTCCATCCAGTACTATATGTCGATAGTTGGATCGTTGTACGTAACTGGTTAGATTCATAAGTAAGAACAAATCGCTCCGGTGAGACTGTATTCTGAAACCTATCGGAAAAAAGTTATTCTAACCTTTCAGTGACCCACTGTACATACAAACAATCTTACTTATAATATCACAAAATCGTTCTTTCATTTCTTGAAAGTCTTGATCTCTTGGCGATATTATTTATTAATTTTCTATTCTATCAATTTTAAATGAACTATATTAATATACTATATACAAGATGTTTGGTAATTCTGCCGACAACGCTCGTGGGCAGGTAAAGTGAACTAAACTGAGTCGGTAAATCATTTTTCGCCATAATTAACGAGATCTTAATTTTTAAAGATCGAATAGCATGGCTATCGCTAAATATAAGCGTGCGGCGAAATAAGATGTATCATCGTAGGATGCTAGAAAACACGCGAAAAGTTGTTTACCACAAGTGGCCTTGATAACGCATAAGCTGCGAAACAGACATCTTGCGTTGGACGGTCGTATCAAGTCATGTTTTTGCATTTGACGATAGACTGGATGGATATTACTTATCGATCTTTAGAAATTAATATCTCGTTAATTATTGCGAAAATTGCAAAAAGGTACTTTTCGATTCAGTTTAGTCCACTCTACTTGCTCACGAGCGTTGTCGGTATAATTACCAGACACTACGTATATATTGCAATCCGCATACATTTACACGATCATTAAAAAATATTTGATGTTTTTCTTAACGTATAATTACAATCTAAGTTATTTTACCAAGACATAATATATTAAATCAATTTACGTATTTTGCTCTGTTCTACTAATATATATATTATTATTATTCCCTTCTTGTTGCAAATATTTATAGATTAAGAGACATTGTGCATAATGTATTATATCACTACATTTAAATCTACATTGAAACTGTCTGGCGATGAATTTAGTGACCTGCAAAAGTAAAACAGAAAAGATAAGTGTCAGTTGCGCGAAACATATAATTTATTATTTTTTCGCACCAGAAAATTTATTAGCATATATTATTAAGGGGATCCTAAAGTCGTCTATTATCGACTAAATCATATAATTTTTGTATAACAAATACTTTTTCTTTTTTCACGGATTCGAAAATCCTTTTCCAGGATTAAAGTATATTTTAATACGTGTCTGTGTGAGGTGAAATTTATATCAAGAACGATCAAAAATTTCGAAATTTATATATATATTTTACCATTTCTTAGTGTAACATGGCATCTTAAGCTAACATGGCTGTCAAGTCGTGACAATATTTGCTTGATACAAAAGTTTTGCAACCTGTATTTATGAAATAGTAATCCATAGACACGTACATAGTTTACATGAACAAATAACGTCAAATTTTTAGAATTAAACTTAGACCCGATTGCACAAACGTTACTTTGATTTTAAGCAAGCTTAAGCAGCTTAAAACTCTTTCTCTGTCTCCTTTTGGTTTTAGAACGAGATGGATAATTTTAAGTCTCGCTTAAAGTCAAAGTGACATTGGTGCAACTGGGCCTTAGACGCTTTATCGCGACGAATTTGTTATAATTGTTGAAAATTGACACAAACGTGCAAATCCATGTATCATATGTTGTATGAGATATTGGTGAGGTAGTATATAAAGATATGTCGATGCCTTGGAAAAACAGTGACCTTTAGTAACTTCGTCAGAATTTGGGCTTCACTTTAGGATCCTCTTAATAGTGGAAATCATCTCGCATCAAAAAGACGATCGTTGTAAACGATAAAATTCATATATTTCCTATAAATGTGTGTGTGTGCGCGCGAGCGCGTGTGTGTGTGTATATATACGAATAGTGCAAAAATTATTTCGGAAATGCTAAAGGTTCTTACGAAAGCTCGGAAAGCATTTTTGAAACATTAACTAGGTATTTACTATATTTCCTTCGTTAAGGAAACTTCTAGAACTTTTATCTGTGTCACCGACAGACTTGCGTTGCGAGGAGAACGTGCTGGGACATGGCACAAAATCGGCGGAGAAGATACATTTTTCAAAGGAGGAACACCGACACTCGAGCAAAAATGATATAGGTCGATCGTGACTCATCAGTCCCGCCTGGCTAGGATCGCTCACGCATGTGTATTTGGGAATCACGTTGTACGGTTTTCTCAGCCAATCTACTTGTCTAACGGAAATCGTAATTGGCTAATTAATCAATTATAATCTATTTTTTGAGCGTGTCGCTGTCATTCCCGCTCTACCTGAACGTGGAGGCGATACCATCGCCATTAGAGGTCCTATTATCCGATTGAGGAAGAGTTGTATTGTGATCTTGGAATAATTTTTGTTGAGGGAGAATCGTGGATTCTTCAGAACATCTAAATTTTGGAATAATCGTGATAGGCAATATTCAACAAAACGAGAGAAAGCATAAAGCGGATGATTCGATGGAAAAGAGATAAACTTGTGGTTGTAAAACATTTTTTTAGTAATAAAATACCTGCGACTTTCTTCCTCCTTTCTTGCACGGTCAAATCTCTCATTGGTGACTTGCCTACGGAGCTCACCGATCTGTTTGCTATACTCCGCCGCTTGGTTCTGATACTGTTTAAGCTCCGCAGATTCTGATGATCTATAATCGTAAGATGTGTAAGCTCATGATATAATATAAAAATAATAGAAATTATATATATATATA